GCAGTGATGATGCCTTTCCCTATGTGCAAACTGCCAATTCCATTTCCAGTCATGGCATGCTGTGTTCACAGACAGTAATTGAAGACATTTCTCTAAATTCTCTGAATCTTTTGATGATATTATGTACTTTAGATAGTGAGATATTCATAGTCTTTGTAATTTTAACGTCGAGAAACATTAACCTGAAATCACACAATTTGCAGACACAGGTTGGTAAACCAATGCCATCGTCTGAGAACGTCTGCCGCTCTAAAATGCTCGTTTTTACACAATCATGTTACTGACCTGTCACCTAATTAGTTTGCAAATTGTTCCACCAGCTGTTTCATTTTAATATCACTCAATTTTCCAGCCTTTTGTTGGCTCCATTCAGATTGTCTTGAGATGTGTTCCTGCCATTAAATTCAAAACGAGCTAATATTTTTAATGAAATAGGAAATCTTTTCTTTGTTCAATTGTGAATAAAATACAGGCTCACAAGATTTGCAAATCATTGCAGAGTGTTTTTATTGACATTTTACTTTAACTAGTTTTGTGTAGTTTTTTCCACAGTTTATTTTATGCTGGTTGGTTCTCTCGAGTAATCAAATTATAATCTTATCGTGTAGTTTGTAATTGCTTCCACGTAAATTGCAGACCATTTTTACTCAGGCCTGACATCTCTTTGTAGTTGTGCCCTATGTTTCTTTGTGAGGCAGAATACACACAGAGCAACACAGGAATGTCTCACAAAAGCAGGTCTTTTGCTCTTGGATAGGGTTTGGTATTCAGCTGGAACTAGGTCACAATGTTCACCCCAACAGTGGGATAAGTGGAGCAGGGGAGCAGCAGCACAGGCTCCTCCTTAGCCTGGCAGGAAGTGGCCCAGCAGAACACTGTGGGTAATGAGCCTGAAGCACTAACCTTCTCTCTCCTTGACTCCAAACCCACCTGGCTAACCACAACTCTGCAGTGAGCGATATGTGTGTTCTGCTCTGTAAAAATACTTTAGGTGTGCTTGATTTAGAATGAGTGAAAGGGGCTTGGCTGGAGGTACCGGCAAGGACTATCAGTATTATAATGTTTTTTGGGGAGAAAACATCAATGAGACAAATTAAGCACAACTTGTGTCTGAGACAAAATAGATGCCATTTAAGTGAGTACACACTGTTTTGCATGGACTGACCTTTAATTCCTCCTCCATGTCTGACACTCTTTTCTCAAGGGTTTGTTTTTCCTGTAAATAAAGAAAAAAAAACTGAAGTAAGTTCTACTGGAAAAATGAGACTATAATTTGAAGTAGACAAGGAAACTGATTGGAAAGAATGCAAATATATGTAGCATTATCAAGGAGAAGGTTGTTAAGACACTTACCCTTTTTTCTGATTCAAGTGCTGAAGATCTTTCAGATATTGTGTCGTGTCTCTAAAACAGGGGTAATGTTATTGGGAGAAATTTATTAGAAGAACTGGTTTAAATTTCAATCATGACTTCACTGAAGAAGTAAAAAGTCAAATCTTTCTTCAAGCACACAGGAAGTGAAGGGATGAATGTGAGTTTTCTGTAGAATGGGCCAAAGGTACCTGAGTGACTTTCTCCAGTTGGGAACGTATCTTGGCTAGCTCTTGTTTGCTCTCCTGCAACCTGGACTTGAGTTTTGCATTTTCATGCAAAGCTTCTGCATACATCTAAAATGTTAAGAAAAGGACAAATATAGGAATGGATTTGTTATAGAAATTCTTAGTATTTGAATTTTGATAACCAAAATATTAATGAAGATACAAAGCATAAAAGGAGTAACAACAGACAGTTTAAGTTGAACCACACAACTCAAACAATATGTAAGATCATCGGTTATATTTACATAAATACAGTTTTTTCTTTCACAATAGCAAAAGCTTTTTCAAAAAACCCCAAACCTAACACAACGTTACTTCTTTTGTTTCTGACTGTGACGGGACCAAACTGAGTGTGCATTTTTTGTTGATATCTGATTATGTTTAACCTAAAAGGATGATGGTGATGAACGCTTATCACAACTGTAAACTAACTGTAATGCCCTTCCTGATGCAACCCCAAAGGAATTTGTGCCTCCTCCCAGTAAATGTGTAAACCAGTAGACTATGGAGCCACTTTCGACTTGGGCATGGTCTCCGAATTTCAAGGAGGGGGAAAAGGGGTCTCTGTCTCTGTCGGTCTTAAAAATAATAATGTTCGGGTATGTTTATGGTTAGGGTTAGCATCACCTGTCAACATCTATTTAAGTGAATGTAGTAAAAGTACATATAGAACGGTTAGCTTCTTCAAAAACCTTACATCTTCATGTCTCTCCATGTTTCCTGTTTTATTTTGAAAGCTCTGGTGTTTCCATGTTCAGTGTGTTTAGTTTTACTTTCCCCTGTGGCGTCATGATCATTTTTGTCAGCTGTGTCTCCTCAGGTGTTTCCACTTCCCTCATTACCCTCCTGTGTATTTAAGTCCTCTGTCTCCCTCTGTTCTTTGTTGGTTCATCTGTCTGTCTTCATGTCAGGTCACGTCAAGTCACAGAGTTTTTGCCTCCCTCTGTTCAAGTCCGTGTTCATGCTCCTGTTTGGTTTATTTCATAGTTACGTTGTCACATGTTCCTGTTTAGTTTCATGTTCTTGTCTCTCGTCATTGTTTTCACAGTTTAGTTTTGCCCCAGTTTAGGTTTCAGCTTACTTTCGCCTCGCCTTGTTTTTCAGTTTTTTGTATCAGCCGCATAAGGGCTCGCTTTTTGTTTGATCATCAGCTCATTTCTCCTGTGTCTGTTTTTGGGTCCACTCCACAAATACAACATCAATCCCCGCCATGACAACATGAAGTCAACAGTATTGCCACTCTTACTGTATAGTGGCATTGCAGGTTCATAGTTCCATATACTGGTTTGATGCAATCTCAGTAAGACATACCTTCATTTCTGCAAATACTTGAATAGGGAATATTACAATAGCAAAATACAATTACAGGTCAGAAGTTCCTTTCTGACACTCCCATCCCATGAAAGCCCGGTTACATTACTGGGACAAATAGATACAATGTGCATAAATATAAAGGCAAATTGTATCCAGGACTGCAGCTTTGAATCAGTAACATTAAAATGTGTTTTTGAAACCGAGGAAAGAGTTACTACCTTCTTATAGTCTTTGGCAGTGGAGTCTTGTTCCTGTTTATTCAGTGCAGCCAGCCTTGCCTCTCTGCGTGTGTATGAGCTGGTGCGGCCCAGTGACTTGTCTGTAGCACTCTCTCCAATGGAATCAAATCTAGAGGCAACACAGCTCTTAGCCAGTCTGCAAGGCAGCTTTATTTACAGTGTTTTTTTCCTCTTACCTGTTACAGTTCTGTAATACAGAAGAAAAAAAGCCCAAATCTTACCTTGACACTCTGTCATGCTGAAAAACAAGGAATAAGGCATGTTAGTTTGACTAGCAGCATGGAAACATCACACTGTGAAAATATTCTGTCACGGTTAGATCGAGTCCTGTTCATTTGATATCACCAAACAAAGGCTTGGCTGAGAAATATTTTCCATTTTGAGACAGCAGAGAACAAAAACAAAACTTCCAGTTGAATTATCACAACATGCGGCTCATGCTTTTATTACATCCCAGCTGGACTATTGTAACTCCTTATATGCTGGAGTTAGCCAGACCTGCCTGGCAAGGCTGCAGTTGGTCCAGAATGCTGCAGCTCGTCTTCTGACACGTACTAAAAGATGTGAACACATTTCCCCGGTGCTTGCCTCTCTTCATTGGCTTCCTGTCCACTTCAGAATTCATTTTAAAATTTTATTGTTGACTTGCAAAGCCCTGAATGGACAGGCTCCCGGGTATTTCTCTGACCTCTTGCAGACTTATACCCCCTTTAGATCTCTTAGATCAAGTGATCTTTTGCTTTTAGCCATACCAAGGTCGAGGCTGGTTCATAGAGGCGATTGGGCATTTGCAGTCGTAGCGCCTAAGCTGTGGAATAATTTACCCCTATACATCAGGTTATTTTATTAGGTATGTTGTATTCTTGTACAGCACTTTGGTCAACGCTCCTGTTGTAATTAAATGTGCTATATAAATAAATAAACTATAAACTATGTTCGGACGCCTTTGGGCCCAGATGGAAGAAGTGCATGTAGAAGTAGGACACAATTCTCCCCAACACTGCTCTGACAGGGTTCGCAGAGGTCAAACCTCCCCGGTGAGCCTGTTTAATCTTTTGAAATACGCTGCTGCAATGAGCATGCCTGCAGCACAAATATGACATAATGACATCAGAAGTCAAGTATTCCTTGCATGACAGGCTGCCATCTGACCTCAGACAACAGTCTGATATCAAACTGTCCTGGCAGGTCCCTGCTATGACTAGCCCAGTCTAAGTGGCTGCCAAGTTGCCTGTTGTGATCACATTCTGTGTTTGTTTCCACTTCACCAAGCAGCCTGGGCACTGTGCGACATGAGGAGTTGCGCATACATACAGTTCTTTGGCTGTATTTGGTTTCTGTTTTCAGAAATTACGTTACCTCAGAGATGACCCTTTTGCGGGACCTATTTTTTATGGCTATTGACTGCCTTCCTGCATTACTTCACAGTCATGTGAAAAAGAACGTTTACACTATGGGACACTATGCAGTTCTAAGTACGCCTCATGATCCAGTAGCTTGTAGAATCACCTTTAGCAGCTGTAACTTGAACTAACTGTTTTCTGTATGAGTTTATTAGTCTCTCACATTTTTGTGCAGGAGTTCTTGTCCAGTCTTCTTTGCACCGTTGCTTCAGATCACTGAAGCTGGACGGTACCTGTTTATGCAAAACACTTTTAAGGTCCCATTGCGTCGTGTCAATCAGTTTGAGGTCTGGATTGTGACGGTGCCATTGAAACGCCTTGATTCTGTGCTTCTGTTTCAGATTCGTTGGCATGTGTGGGATCATTGACCTGTTGTATGACCCAGTTTGGGCCAAGCTGTAGCCGTCAGACAGAAAGCCTCACATTTGGATGCTGCCATGTTCTTTTTTTGAAAGAACGAGCTTTCTCCTAGAAACCCTTAAAACAAAACCCATACGTCTGCAGTTGTTTTCAAATAGTCAGTACCAGCTATCATACTGACTGAGCCTTGCATTGCACTGGCCTGTCCAGGAATTTCACCCCATATTTAATCTCCATACTTAGTTTGTCAAATGACTGCAGAGAGCCCTAAACAAAACTGAACTAAACAAACACTTGCTGCCTTCAGCCGATAAATGTGAAATTTTTTTCACTGTTCATATCAGACTGGAAACAACAAGTAATATAGTGAGAGAGGCTGCCATGATGTGAGACCAGCTTGATCCGTGATCTCTGCTGCAGTCTCGTAAAACTTCCCTAAATTCATAGATTTGGAGTTGATCTCCAGCCAGGCAAAGAAATCTTTAAACACCTGTGTTTAGAAATGTTTGGCAATAAACATCAAGTGTGGTGGTCTAAGCTGTTTGAGACAAGAAGCAGATGTTAAAAGAATGATTTAGAAAAACAGTATATGTTAAAAGCAGTGGGTATTCCTGCATTCAGATTTAGTGAGTTAAGAGGAGATTTTACACAGCATCGTAGGAGCTGTTCCTCAGCAAGTGTTTACATAACTGAGCCACTGCTGCCTGTCCTTATGTGGTCATGTGCTTCAGCTGAGCTATCCAGGAAAAAACAGACCTCCCTGACCTCAGATGAAAAAGGGCTAAGGATGGAGTGAAGAAGAGCTCTCACTCACTCTGATCTCTTTGTGCAATAGCAAGGAGATTCCTCAATCAGATTGTGTAATCATTCATTAAGCAGCGGGTTGTAAGAATGCATTTTCATGAAGCCTGCTTTTGGAGATATGAACCAAACTGTACGCAAACTTATTTCACACTAAAGGATTAGGAAATTGGGGAAATTAGGCTTTTTTTAAACTTAATACTTTAAACCTTGAGTGGGCCCTGTGGGGATTACACTGCCAGATTTTGGGGAAAAAATGAGCAAGTCCTTATACGACCAATAAACGCATAACATCCGCATTGAACCGAAGCCAGAAAATGAGCCATAGTTTGAATTCTACTTGTGATGGCAGCTGCACCAATCTGATTGCCTTGTTAGGAAAAATTGAGGGAGGAAGAAGTGCCACATGTAACTTAGCAGGGCAGAGCAGAAGAAGGAGGAGGAGATGAACAACAGTGTGTCAGACTGGTGAAAACAGCCTCAGAAACAGTGTTGGCTTTACCATGGGCACCCAGTAAACAGAACTGTTTCCAGTTTTATTAGCTTGCCTGGATCAACATCATCAGAAGTATACACACGCAAGCCACCTGCATGAGCTCACTGCTAGAGCGTATAAATGATAATGCTAACGTCAGCCAAGACAATCATAATTAGCAGACTCTTCACACTCCTTCTCACTGCCTTCTCTTCCTTTCCACTTTCTGCCACAGCATCACTCCTTCAGAGCAGGCTAGTTGACTACAGTAGGAAAATCTGAGCTACACCAGTGCAAATGACACTACACACACATAAACTCATAAAAAAATCTTCCGCATTCACTCACCTTTCCCTACTTCTCTACAGTGTTAACTCTTTACACAACATCTCAGAGCTCCAGGCAACCAAGAGTATCTTCCTTGTTTTCAAAATGACCAAATCAAATGAGGAAATGGGTTCTTTTTCTTGAATAACAGTACTTGGAAACATTACTGCCTATTACGACATGTGTTACTATCGATGCATTAATTCATATGTATTACGATTACATTTAGTGCCACTACCCAAGTGGCCTATCTCTTCACATAATAGCATCACACGATAAAGCAAATGTGTGAAATTATTAATGGGGGGACTAATTTGAGTCTTTGCTTTTCGTGGAACATCAGGTAATTGTTTTATCTTTCTGTGGACCTGCAGAGATTTTTACAGGAAAAGTGTTTTGGATCTAGTGCAATTACTTGTTTGCATATTCAAGCATGTTTTAATTTGAAATAAACCTAATGGGCTATGATTTCTGAATGCGGGGGAATGGAGAGCACATATTTCCAGAAACATAATGAAGCAGAAGTAGCAGAAACTATCTGATCTGACTATCTCAGCTATCCTAAATTCTTCCTTCTGTACAGCACGTGGCTTAATGTGCTTACTTACATTTCACCACTGTGAACATCTGCCAAATGTTGAGTGTCTGCCAATAATGCAAATGTGTTCCTGTTGACTTTGACTTCCTGCTGCACACAGCTGTAACACATATTACATTGGTACAATTATTGCATCAACCTGACTCCACGGCTTTTTCTCTCCCAGGAACACACTGCCAATTCAGATTGGGCTGGCTTCATGGAAAATTAAAGCCAGAGTTTCCCCGGCAGAGAGAGAGTGACACTTGTTGAAATGCGAGCAAAAGAATCCAAACATCCACCAGAGGCATTCGCTGCTGGCAACAGTGCAATAATAATGAGTGTGTCTGTAGTGTTGCGTGACATTACTGTACGTGCTTCCAAACAGACAGGATCCCATTGTGTTTGGTTTCCCCCCCCCCCCCCCCCCTCTTTTCTTTCTTTCCCTTTAAATGTGCCTGTCACACAGAGTTCAGCTCAGTCTGATGCACTGACATAAACAGTCAAACTACGCCCGTGAGAATAAGCCACTTAGGCAGAAAAAAAATAACAGGAAATTACAGAAGGAATGCTTCAATCCAAAAGTCTTTTCCAGAAAATGTGGTCAGACTCTCAGCACTTCAGAGCAAATACTTGCCTCGCTTTCACAAGCCAGCAAATAAGCTGTGATAAGTGTCTGAAGAGTTAGGCAAATACACATTAGTAAATGAACTATTAGCCTGTTGATCATATAATGATGTTTTTTGTTTAACTGTTAGTATCCCAACAGCAGATGTCCAAACATATATACTGCTATAATATATATCTATATATATCTATTGTTCAAAGTAAAAAAAATCTAATAAATTAACTGACAAATTCTTTACCTAGTTGTCCAAACTCTTAAAAAGCTGCTTAATGATGCGTCCAGTTGTCTTAGATGAATCAACAAATCAGCCTGGTCTAAGGATTAGTCATCAACATCTACAGAAAATACTATTCTTTCTTTGACTTTACAGAGGGGTCATACTATAAAGTCCCTTTACAGATAAATAAAGAGTAAGATAAACTAAGAGTCGTGATATTAAAGTTATTTAAAGCCACTGGAATAAATTACCAAAAATTGCTACAATATCACAAAAAAGTATCACATTCAGTTTTTCCTGCAAAGGTGCACCGCTCTAGAAATAAAGCTTACTCTGTAGTTTTTTTCTGTAGGGGACGGAGACGATGGTGGCGATTCTGTCAGTGACTTCCTGGTGCGAGTCAGGTCCTTGGTGCGTGGGTAGTAGGATGACATCTCCCTCCTCTACCCCGGACAGGCAGATCAGCTTCTACTGTAACATTCACCGAGGCCACCACCAGATAACAGCTGCACACACGCACAGATTCCCTCAAGCAACAGGGACACAGATGTCCATGACCGTGCTCCTGGGGAATCCTCAGCAACAACAGGTGTGTGTGTGTGTGTTTATATGTCTGTTTGGTGTTTCAGTGCAGCCACAAATGTCCCAGAAGTGGACACAGTTGCTGCTAAATCTGGAAGGATTTCAAATGTGCGGTCACGCCTTCTTCAAATCTCAGGCAGTTAAACAACAAGCAGATAAAAATTTTAAAAAGAACCACAAAACAAAATAATCTCTGGAGATCTAAAGAAAAAGAGCAATTCAATGAAGAAAGCAAACGAATGAGTATCCCTTGTTCTGCTCTGTCAGCACTGAAGTCCGCTATGAAATGCACAAAAGTCCAAAACAAGACAAGAGAGAAAAAGTTTGTTCCCTTTGCTGCCTCTTCCTGAGTTCCCCAAAGTTATACACTCTCTGCCATCTCCCTCCCTCTCCTGCTCTCTCTCTTCTGCTCCTTTCACTATTTGGTCACCCTCTCGGTCCCTCTGCTTCCCCAACCCCCAGCCCCCTGCTTCTCCCGGCTCTCTTCAGCTTTGGCAGCTTTCTGTGGCAGCCTGCCAGAGGCTCTGCTATGGACAGACTCGGCACTGAGGGCTAAAAATTGTCCACCGATGTGAAGAGGGATAAGAGGAGGTGGAGCACAAAGCCAGAGTCAGGAGGGGGCTGAAACAATTTGTGTCCTGGTAGGTCAACACGCAGTATCACCTGAGGAGCCATCAACAACTGTAAAGTGTCAAGTAACTCTGTGCGCCCTACAGTGTGATGGAGAGGGGACGTTGCCAGTATTAGTGCTACGCAGTGTTAACACAGAGCACTTGTGACACATCTCCTCTTCCTGAAACTGAAATCTTGTTTCATTTTGCCCACAGCCGCATTGATTTTAGTTTTAGTTTTATAAACCTGCCTATTGATAGACAGGTTTATAAAAAGTCAACATTTTATTAAAGAATAGTTGGACATTTTTGGGGAAATATACATTTTGGCTTTCTTGTCAGAAGTTATTTGAAAAGACTAACTGAATTCTCAGACTTGTGTGAAGCTACAGCCAGCAGCTTGTTAACTTGGCATAGCAAAAACACTCGAATAAGAGAAAAACTGTTCGACTGGCTCTGTTCAAAGATTCTAAACCTGCCTCCCAGCATCTCTCAAACTCTCTAATTAACATGTTACATCTTATTTTGTTAATCTCTTTTCTCTCTGGTTGTTAAACAAACAAAATTTATTTTTTAACTAATGAGGCTCAGCGGGGACAGAACCAAACAGTTTTCCCTGCTTTTCCCTGCTAAGCTAAGGTAATCCAGCGCTGGCTCTGACTTCATGTTGACCATACAGGTGGTATCAATCTTCTCACCTAATTCTTGGCAACAAAATGAACACGAGTATTTCTCAAAATGTCAAACTGTTCCTTTAAACAACCCAGCAGTAACCCCTTAATTTCATAGTCAGCTCAAGCTGGCTCATTGCTGTCTTCCTTTTATAGTGAGGTACGCAAGCGCCTCACGGTTCTCTATACTCCCCCATCCTTGCTCAGGGCAAATAGATAGAAGGCAAGATAGGACTGCGAGAAACTGAGCAAGGACACAGGGGAGAATCAAAGAGAAGCGGAGAAGCTGATGTGTTGTGGCTTTTGGTTTAAGGCTGGAAAGTCACCCAGACTAGAAATCTAACAGGTCTTAATTTCCCAACCCAAGTACCATTGCCTGCATCTCTAACTTTTACAGTGCTTGAATTTTAAGGACAAATACCATGGATTGTAAGTTCTAACAAAACTGATATTGGAATTAGGTATTAGTTAGAGTAGTCTAGCAGTATGTTTACATTAAACATTCTAACTTGGAGACCCTCTGGAAATAAGACATTAAACTACACTGGCACTGGTTTTGGATAGTTGTGTTGAGAATCTAGCCCAGCTGGAGTCCCTTCTGTCTGATCCTCACCCTTAGCTTTAGGATATTCCATATGGGATGCTATGCTCATGCATTTTAGTAAAGCAGAAAATAAGTGGCTACCAAAGATCCCCTGAGTGATAGCAGAAATGTGGAAGTTAAGTTTGGACTACCACTCAGATCAAATTTCATAATGTATTCCAGGATAAAAAGAGGTATGTTTGAAGCGGCATTCTTGCTATCTCTGCTTGTCACCCTTAAGTACCAGAATCTCTATGTTGTCTCACTCTGCACCTGTCTTTTTGTCGGTTGTTGGAAAAAATCATAAAAAGAACTGCGGAAAATCTGTTCCGATAATCATGGAGTCACGCAGAGGTCGACTCTATTGATGGGCAGCCTGTCTAGCTTCTGGTAAAACCTCACTGCTCTGTATGATTATCACAGACAGATATAGTACCTGCTGAGATACTCTCGTATTACTGACAGATCTCTGTTTCAGATTCCAGCACAGGGTTACAGCCAAATCTCTGACCTGGAGTCAGCTCATATGGACACCACTTTCCATTCATACTGTATTACACCTAGGACATTCATAATCATCTATTATCAGGATACCGTCTTGTATAAGTCAAAGCCTTGTCATCTATGTGTCCCCTTTGCTTCCATTTCTCAGATGGCTAGATTATCTAAAGTGAAACTTAATAAGTGAATTGACAGATTTTACCCAGTAGGAGTAATTAGTGATTAAATTTGTCAGTGCTTTTGTCAGGGGTGTTTCACTGATAGCATGAAGGTGGAGGGAGAACAGTAATAGTTAAGAATTTAAAGGAGAAAGCAAAGCCAATCACTCTGAATCCAAGGGTAAGATTAAACAGAGACCATCTCAGTTTTGCCCAATATGGTATGGAATGCTGAGACACCTCAGCCATGTGATGTGAAGAATCAAAATGACTTAAAGAGAGTGGGGGGCTGGCTATCCAGACTATCTTTCTGTGAGATATTATCCAGCACTTCTAGTTACGGTACTCTGTGAACACATGCTCGACATTTGTGATTGCAGTAGTTCTTAAAATATTGCATCAGAGATCAGAGCGCAGCTGCCTTTGAAGCACACTCAGCTTTCAGGTCAGGGAGGAACAGAATATGAACATGAAACAACGGCGCCAACAGATATTGACTTGCACACAATATTTAAATTAGAGTGGTGATGCATTTAATACATTGTCATGAATACCAAAAAAGAGAACCACTTTGATTTTGTGAAGCATGAGAACTGATTATCACATTTTTAAGTTTAAAATCATTCCAAAGAAATTTTAATGTATCACACAGGAAAGCTTTGTAAATACTGGCCTCCTCTGGAACAAGCTATGGATGAAAAATAGATTAGATTATCCTTTGACTCCATCTAGTGGTAGATGGTTAAAATGTTTTGTGAAACCATCATTCGTCTCTTGGTGTGTGTGTGTGTGTGTGTGTGTGTGTGTGTGTGTGTGTGTGTGTGTGTGTGTGTGTGTGTGTGTGTGTGTTATTACAATTAAAGTGGCTAGATGTTTTCCACCTACCTTTGCAATGTAGTCTGAGCCTTCAGTGTCAAAGCAGGGCCGTCTTTGTTGAGTCAGCTGTGCTGAATCTGCAATGTTCTGATTTTCATCTCTCCACCATCTCTCGCCAACTGGACATATAAAGGAAGTGTGTGTTTTTATTATTATACTAGATCAATACTAATAATGGAAAATAAAGACGTGCTGTATGATTAACAAACTGAAGGCTAATGTTCAGATTGAGGTCTTCGTGAGCCTGAGCTCTCAGAGCTCTCAGAGCTCAAAAACTTCCAAGGTGGCTGTGGCTACAATGTAGCTTGCCATCACCAGTGTGTGAATGTGTGAATGTGTGTGTGAATGGGTGAATGACTGGAATGACGCTTTGGGGTCCTTAGGGACTAGTAAAGCGCTATATAAATACAGGCCATAACAACATAAATAACAAAAGAATGTCAACTGGAGGCCTGATTAAACAGATAATAGTTACAGGGTAACTTTTATCACATACTTCACTACCTACAAAGTACATTTTTACTTATTTTTACTTAAAAACAAAAAACAAGAGTTTTTGTTAAGATGTTTGAAATGACATTGAAAGAACAGTCCTGAATATCAAAACTGTCCAGAAATCATTAGGTGGACTAACAGTCTGGATCATAGTGACCTGCTAGCACATTTTTTGTTGTTGTTGTTGATGTTGTTGTATTATATTTTATGGAACCCAGAACAAAACATATGGATCATGAAGCACAACAGAACACGACAATCAAAAGAAATCTGGATGTTTTTCTTACCTCTGAAGGAGCTGTTGCAGTAAGGCCGGTGCGGAAGGTCAGGCAGGCTTTCTAATCTGGTTTCAAAGTTACCCTCCTGCACATTTGGAGTAAAATAAAGAAGAATACAGAGATAAATCATAAATTTCACCTAAAGCTTCAAATCAGCCACATCTGAGGCAGAAAACGATTTCTGAATAATTCTGTCTTGTAACCTCGTCCATTTGGCTCCAGTTTAGACTGACATCAGTTGTTTCTGTGTACTCTGTAACGCCAGGCTGAACTCTTCTATCATCTGTTAAGCTCATCCGCAGACAGGACCTGTCCTCCAGTCTGCTGCTATCCTCATTTTTTCCATCTTCCAGGCTGCTGATCTTCTGAGCCTCTTTCAGGTCAGTCGGAGTCATACCCTGCAGGATATTCACACAGCTTCACATGTATGAACAGTTTGTTAAATCTTTCAAAATCTAAACGTGTGTCAACCATTTCAGTACCTGTGTTAACCTGCGAGTTTGTCTCGCATGGCGAGATTTTGCTTTTCTCTGAGATTCTGCTTCTTCATCCCTGACAGGGGTCAGATACGACCTGGGTCAGGAAAAACACACAAATGCATAGGTGTAATTAGTCTGCACGAGGCCACAGTCATACATATGAAGAACCAATGTTTTAAATTGAAAAATGTAAAATCAAATCAAGTCAAATGGGACATTAAATTTAGTATCTAACTATCTAGGTATTATTAACAAAACAAAGCTACATATATGAGCAATAATAGACTATTTGCATTACAAACCTTAACAAATCCCAAATCTACTCACAAGCTTCCGAAATTCAGTAAAAATGTCTAGTATTAATTGTACATGGCATAATAAGACCAAATCAAAAACATTGCACTATTATGTGGCCTTTATGTGACCCAGTGTTACAACAGCAAGTATGTTAAGCTGCTAACACAGCTTTTCTGTGATAGCTGAACACACTTCTGTACTTTTTAATTGTCTGTCCTGGCATTCTACTCTACCCACTTTCACAGGAAATCAGTGAATCAACATGCTCTGAAAAGATGCAAGCCTGATAACTATGGCTGTCTTCATAGACACAAATAAAAAAGCTGAGCAAGCATCGGTGGGGAGGCTCATGTTTTACCCACTGAACTGCTAGCACTGCCTCTGCTATGCTTTTACTGGTATTGATCTTTCAGTTGTGGAGTCACCCTGAATGTTCACTGAGATTCAATGGGCTGCTCGGCACAGCAGCACAATGTAGTCTATGCAAAGTTCAGGACTTGGATACCATTAATGTGCATAATTCTACCGACTGATAAAGAAAATAATCAAGAACAAACTAATTTAGAACCCAGTATAGCAGCCATCTCTGCTATACTGG